CTTGGGGGCCCCTTGGGGTCCTCTGGGCCCGCCTTCTGGCCGTCTTGGGCCGCCCCTGGGCCCCCAGGGCCCCCCATTTCCGGTCCAGGTCGACGCCCCGGCGCCTCCAGGCCCGGTCCCCCGTTCATGTAAACATCGTACTGCCCATCCACTCGTCTCTCAAATCCCACATACGTGATGCCTTTCCAGCTCGGCCCACGGACGAGTTCCTCCTCCTCCCCCTCCTCTTCCTCGTCCTCCTCCTCCACCATTCGACACGCCAAGGCCAAGCTGGTAGGAGGGAATATAGGTTTTCGCGTGCAATGGCAAGCCAGCCTTCGACGCCACCGAGCTGCCTCACGAAACGCAACAGCCGCCAGACGCCTGCATTGGCCACACCGAGGCCAATGCGGCACAACAGCAGGGAAAGCGCACCCCGAGAAAACGAATGCTCACAATCCCCCAGTACAAAGACCAACGACGGGCCCGCGGACGAACTGGACACGGAGACGAGCCCCACCGCCAGCCAAAATAAAAAACACACACCGCGAGTCAGAACAAGGCTAAAAAAAGGAACCGCGATAATGAATAGTGCAGCGCAAGACCCACGACAATCGTTGCACACCCGCGAAGACAAAACCGCGACCGTCAGCGCAATGACACGCCACAGCAAACCCGAACACAAAAACACACTTACATAACAATTTATGAGGTCGACGGCAGAGGCGGCAGCCTTTAAATATCCTCCTCAGCAGCAGCAGCAGCATCATCATCAGCAGCAGCATCATCATCATCAGCATCATCATCATCATCATGATCATCATCAGCATCATCATCATCATCATCAGCAGCAGCATCATCATCATCATCATCATCATCATCATCATCATCATCATCATCATCAGCATCATCAGCATCATCGGCATCATCATCATCATGCCCCCCCCTCCCCTTTCCTACTCGTTCTCTTCTTCCTCCTCCTCCTCCTCCTCCTCCTCCTCCTCCTCCTCCTCCTCCTCTTCCTACTCCTACTCCTCCTCCTCCTCCTCCTCCTCCTCCTCCTCCTCCTCCTCCTCCTCCTCCTCCTCCAGCTCCTCCTCCTCCACCTCCTCCTCCGCCTCCTCCTCCGCCTCCCCCTCCTCCTCCTCCTCGACCTCCGCCTCCTCCTTCTCCTCCTTCTTCTCCTCACCCTCCTTCTCCCCGCCATTGTCATCCTAATAATCACCATGATGATGATCATCATAATCGTCATCGTCGTCGCCCTCGTCATCATCCGACCATACTAGTAATAGTAGAAACAATAAGAAGAAGAAGAAGAAGAAGAATGATGATGATGATGATGATGATGATGATGATGATGATGATGATGATGATGATGATGATGATGATGATGATGATAGGAATGTCAATGGTACAAATAATCGAGTAGTAATCATCATACAACAAATAATGATAAGGATAACAATAACAGTAAAAATAGTAATCATCATCGTCATCAGCATCAGCATCATGTTCATCATCAGCAGCAGCATCAGCATCAGCATCAACATCAGCATCATCATCAGCATCCTCGAAGGCATCATCGCCATCATCATCATCATCAACGTCAACATTAACATTGTCACCATCATCAGCAGCAGTAGCAGCATCATCATCCTCATCATCCATATCATCGACATCATCAGCAGTAGCACCATCAGCATCAGCATCAGCATCATCAGCAGCAGCATCATCGCAATCATCGTCACTATTGGCATCAGCATCATTATCACCAGCAGCCTCAGCATCATCATGATCAGCATCATCGTCATCATCACCATCCTCATCATCTGCATCATCAGCATATCCATCATTATCATAATTATCATGAGCATCACCATCCTCAGCATCATCAGCAGCAGCGGCATCATGGTCATCATCGTCATCATTATCATCACCGTCATAATCATCGCCATCATCATTAGCAGCATCAGAATCAACAACAGCAACATCATCAACAGCAGCATCATCATTGTCATCGTCGTCGTCATCGTCATCATCATTGCAATCATCATTATCATTATCACCACCATCGTCACCATCGTCAGATTCGTCATCTTCATCAGCACCATCATCAGAAGCAGCCGCATTTTAATCATAATCATCAGCAGCAGCATCATCAGCAGCATCCTTATCACTGTCATCATCAGTATCATCAATGCCATCATCGTCAGCATCATCACCATTATCACCGTCATCATCATTAGCATCATCTGCAGCATCATCTGCAGCATCATCATCATCATCATCATCATCATCATCATCATCATCATCATCATAGTCATCATCATCATCTTCATCATCATCATCAGCATCATCATCATCCTGGTCACTACCATCAGCAACGGCACCGTCATCACCATCGTCGCCAGTTCAAGACATCATATCAACTGTCGCTGTCATCATCGCCACACTTATACACATCAAACGCATTGGAATCGACATCATGACCACCGTCACAAACATCCTGGGCGTCATCACCAATTTCGTTGTCAAAATCATGCACGTCGGCAGCATCGTCGTCATCGTCACCACCACTCCCTGTATCATAAACATGGACATCGTCCTCATTGTTGTCGTCAGCATCGCCACGGCCATCAAATTCTGCCTTGGCATCATCACATACATATACATAACCAGCATCGTCAGGCTCGTCGTCAGCAAATGCATCAGCTTCGTTATGACAAGTTTCACACATCAGTATCACCACCATCGTAAATATAAATATTATTGTATAGATATGTATAACGCGCAACGGCATCGTAATCATCATCGTCGCCATCGTCACATACACATTCATACTCATCTTCGCAATCATCGAACACATCAACACCATCATGGCATCATCTCCAGCATCATCGCAATCACCAGGTGCGCCGGCATCATCATCATCAGCATCATCATCAGCATCATCAGCATCATCATCAGCATCATCATCGTTATCGCCGTCGTCATCATCATCACCATCATCATTCCACTTCGCCTCCTTTTGCTGTAAAACATCAAGCAAGACCCTGACTAACGGGAGTCGCCAGACGAGGCAACAGGCGGGCTACAGCCACACACACACACACACCTGCAAAAGAAGTATTTCAGCTCCTCCTCATCCTGCTCATCCTCCTCCATCAGACTTCGAGGCGGATCCAGCCGTGGAGGCGAGGGAGGACCATGAGGGAGAACGTTAGGGGGGACCGGCTCAGGGAGGGGGGCATCGAGACTGAATCGGTAAAACATCAACGATAGATCGGCGAGATGCCCCCGATAGCGAATCCGCACGTTACTGCGCGGGGTGGGCTATCAGGCCCCTATCGGCGATCAATTGGCGGTTAGAGGTCGATTAGAAGCCTTTGAGATGGGGTCCGAGCAGATGGGGTCGGAGGATCGCGCCGCATCGCCAATGCATCGGCGACGTCGGCGACGCATCGGCGACGTCGGCGTGGAGAAAATCGGGCTCCGCATCGAGCCGCATCGCCGATGCATCGGCGATGCGGCACGGTCCTCCGACCACGCCTGCTCGGACCCCATCTGGGAGGCCCAGTTCGATGCATCCCTCCCGAGCCCATCGTTGCCCCTGGGACGAGGGGGAGGAGGAGGAGGAGGAGGAGGAGGAGGAGGAGGAGGAGGAGGAGGAGGAGAGAAGAAGGAAGAGGGAGGAGAGGAGGAGGAGAGGAGGAGGAGCAGAGGAGCAGGAGGAGGATGAGGAGAAGAGGAGGAGGAGGAGGAGGAGGAGGAGGGGCGGAGGCGCGGAGGAGGCGGAGGAGGAGGAGGAAGAGGAGGAGGAGAAGGGGGAGGAGGAGGAGGGGGAGGAGGAGGGGGGGGGGAGGAGGAGGAGGAGGGGAGGGAGGAGGAGGGGGAGGCGGAGGCGGAGGGGAGGCAGAGCAGCGGGCCCCCGGGCACCCTGCCACAGCGCTCCCGTGCCACCGGCCAAGGCCGCAGCTGTATCCCCTCCTGCCTTCCCTCCTCCTCCTCCTCCTCCTCCTCCTCCTCCCTCCTCCCTCCCCTCCTCCTCCTCCTCCTCCCCTCTTCTCCTGCCTCCTCCTCCTCCCCCTCCCTCCCTCCTCCTCTCCTCCCTCCTCCCTCCTTCCCTCCTTCCTCCCTCCCTCCTCCTCCTCCTCTCCTCCTCCTCCTCCTCCTCCCTCTCCTCCTCTAATCGGCGGCGAGCGATGGGGGGGGAGTGAGAAGGAGAAGGCCTTCTCAGCAGGCGGCGGGGCTTCTCAGAGGACCTCGCGCCTTCTGAGAGGCTTTCCGTGCCTCCGTCGGGGAGTACTTCCCAGAAGGCCGCGGGGCTTCCGAGCCTTCGGAGAAGGCCGTCTCCTTCTCACTTCCCCCCCCCCTCGCTCGCCGCCGAGTATCCCCTTCAGGTCAGGATGTGCGCAGGCGCCCCTCAGGCCTCTGGGGGCTCGTTTTTGGCCCCCAGAGGCCACCCAGAAGCATCTCGTGATGGAAAAGGTTGTCGGGGATGGGGTCGAGAGGGGGGCCCAGGTCCAAGGCCACGCTAACAGCGATGTCGGTTAACGGCGATGTTGGGAATATGGTTTTCACGACGCCGAACTCGCGCAGAACAAATTGAAGGACAGCACGAAGAGGCCTTGCCTACAAGTGGGTTGGCCATGAACCACCCCCTTCCAAAACGAAAACTACATCGCCGTTACCTACATCGCCGTTAGCGTGTGCACAGCAAGCGATGGTCGAATCACAGCGTCGGAGACATGGGCCATGTCATGACCACCGGCTTGCGCTCGCAGCAGCACTCATCGATCGCACGTTACTTGAACTGAGAAAATGTTCCCGTTGGCTCGTTGACCCACTGGCATCGTCGTGGGAGCGCCGCCTCTGGGATACCTCGCAGCCACCAGCTGCATCTGGCCCATTGAAAGCTGCAAGGTAATGCCTAGTTACTACAGGCCTTCCATGTGCCAGGTCCGAACCAACGCAAGCCTCGCATGACTTCCTACCCCTGCATTCACCCCGTCCTCCCGGTCCTGGTACGCTCCAACGCGTTGCACGGGCACAGCTGGCGTCGGCACGATTGACACGCCTCTGCCGTCCTTATTCTTCTCCCTGGAAGCTTGCATAACTCCATGATGCACCGCTGGCAGCACTGCCGACTGCAGTGCGCGCTCTGGTGAGGCCGCCCGCGCGGCCTGAGCAGTGACCTCCGACGTGGCCCCTGCCTCGGCCGCAGTGGTGGCAGACGACTCAGCGGCTGATCGGACTGACGGCGCAGACGCCAGCGTGGCTGCTGGTGTAGCTGCCGACCCAGCCACTAGAGCGGGCTCGAGTGCTGCTGCCGGTGCAGGTGCTGGTCCTGCCTCCAGCACGACCTCAGGCACTGAAATCTCGGGGGTACGCAAATCCCATGGCTCGTCTGCCTCTCCTATCGCTTTGACCACCTCCACATCCACCTTTTGATAACCGTGTCTCTGGCTCTCCCTTCTCTTCCCGCTTCTCCCTGGCTCCCATCCCCTTCTAAAGGTATCTCCTCTCCTTCTTGACCTTTCTGCGGCCGCGACCTCTGGCATCATCATCGGCGAAGCCACTGGCGCAGGCTCTGGCGTGGCCGCCGGCGTCGCGGCCAGCTCGTGCTCAATCGCGGCCGTCGGGGCAACCAAAGGCGCAGTCGCCGTCAAGGCCTCGGGCTCAGTCACTGGTCTGGCTGCCGCAAGCCCCCCCGCCGCAATGGCCCTCGGCGGGATATCCACCATGGCAGCGGGCACGGTCGCTGGCAGCGCTGCACACACGTCCGCGGGGGGGGGCGCCAGCGCGGCCACGGACAGCTCGGGCGCAGCTGCTGGCACCTCGGGTGTGGCTGCTGGTACTACCGCCCCCGCAGGCTCTGCAGACCGAATCACCTCTGGCGTGGGAGCCGTCGCACCCTCTGGCAACGCCACTGGCTCGGCCCCCAGCGCCAAGTCTTGCGCGGCTTCTGGCGTGGCCGCCGTCTGGTGCTCAGCTACGGCCGTTGACCCTGGAAAAAATGCTTCCGAGCTGGAGTTGCCAGACTGGACCTCGGGCACCATCACTAGCGAAGCCACTGGCGCAGGCTCTGGCGTATCCGCCATTGGGGCTCCCAGCATTGCAGCAACTGGAGGCTCTGAGTTGAAAGCCAGCGATGTCTCAGGCACGTCCGCGATCACATCCACTATCGCAGGCTCTGGCGCGGCCTCCGCAACACCTGCTGGCGCATGCACCGCCATCGCCTCTCGCATGGCTGCAAGCGCGTCCGCTGGCGCGCTCCGTGGCACAGCCACTGGCATAGGCTCTGGCGCATCTGGAGCAGCTGCTGGTGAAGGCATCGGCGAGGCCACTCGCATAGCTGCAAGGGCGTCCGCTGGTGCGCCCCCTGGCGCGTCGACCAGCACAGGCTCGGGCGCCGCTGCAGCAACTACTTGCAACGGCGTCGACGTGGCCACTCGCATGGCTGCAAGCGCGTCCACTGGCTCGCCCCCTGGCACAGGTGCGGGAACAGGCCCTGGCACTTCTTGAGCGGCTGCTAGCGCGAGGCTCGAGGTTGACTCTCGCATGGATGCAAGCGCATCCGCTTGTGCGCGGCCTTGCACAGCCACTGGCTCAGGTTCTGGCGCATTTGGAGCAACTGCCGGCGAGGGGCTCCACGCGGCCACTCGCATGGCTGCAAGCGCGTCCACCGGTGCCACTCGCATGGCTGCAAGCGCGTCTGCCGGTGCGCCGGCTTGCAAGGCCCCTGGCGTAGGCTCCAGCACCTCTGGAGCAGCTGTGGGCGCGCGGCTCGACATAACCCCCTGCGCGGCTGCAAGCGCGTCCACGGGTGCACCACCTTGCCCCGACACTGGCTCAAGCTCTGGCGCCCCTGCAGCTGAAGGCGAGCGTCCCACAGCCACTCGCATTGATGAAAGCGAGTCAACGGACGCGCCGCTGTGCACAGCCACTGGTTCAGGCTCTAGCGCCTCTGGAGCACCCGCAGACGCGAGGCTCGACGTGGCCTCTCGCACAGCTGCAAGCGCGTCCACCAGTGCACCCCCTGGCACAGGTTCGGGCGCCTTTGCAGCAGCTGCTGGCGAGGGTGCCGGCGAGGCCACCCGCATGGCTGCAAGCGCGTCCGCCGGTGCGCCCCTTGGCACATCGACCAGCACAGCCTCAGGCGCCTCTGGAGCAGCTGGTGGCGCGGGCATCGACGCGGCCTCTCGCATGGATCCAAGCGCTCCCGCCGGTTTGCCGCCTGGCACGTCGACCAGCACAGGCTCGGGCGCCTCTGCAGCAGCTGCTGGCGCCAGCCTCGACGAGGCCTCTCGCCAGGCTGCAAGCGCGTCCACTGGTGCGCCCCCTTGCACAGCCACTGACCCAGGCTCGGGGGCCTCAGGAGCCGCTGCTGGCACGAGGCTCGCCTTGGCCACTCGCATGGCTGCAAGCGCATCCACCGACCTTGTTCCTGTTACAGCTACTGGCTGAGGCTCTAGCGCCTCAGGAGCAACAGCTGTCGCAGGCCTCGACGCGGCTCCTCGCACGGCCGCTAGCGCGTCCGCCGGTGCAGCCTCTTGCACGTCGACCAGCGCACGATCTGGCGCTGATGGCGCGGGCATCGACGTGGCCTCTCGCATGGCTGAGCGCACGTCCGCCAGTATGGCACACGCGCCTGGCGCCTCTGAAGCCGCTGCTGGCACAGGCATCGACGAGGCCACTCGCATGGCTGCAAGTGGGTCCGCTGGTGCACCAACAGGCTCTGGCGCAGCTTCTAACACTTGCGGGGCGGCCACCAGCGGTGCCACCGACTCGAGCTCCTGCGGAGCCACCTCAAGGGCATAAGTAGATTTGACCCCTATCCCACACGAAGCTTGCTAAAGAAGCGCTGGCAGGAAGGTCGTACCCTGTCACATTCAAGACTACGGTAAGGGCGTTGAATCAGGAACCCTTGGATAAGGAACCCAGAGTCTGAGAGCCACTGGAGCACAATTGATGCACGGCCATGGAAATCACCGCCGCCCTCATCAGATAAGGAATCCTCCAGAGTCTGACGCCTCCTGGACACATTCCTTGACGAAAGCCCCCACCGTAAGCGATGCTCGCCATGATCAGCTGGAAACGTCCCACCCCGTGACGCGAGAACTTCGCTGAAGCTAGCGCCTCTTCAGAGGCCGTTTGCACTGAAGCATGCGGTCTTCCCTGCATCTCAAGGTAGGGTGTTTCCTGCCAGCCGCCCATTGGTTCAAGGGATCGTCCCCAAATGGTAAGCTCCACTAACCCCGGATTCAAAAATGGTGACGCCTTGCCTCTGCTTCCGCCTCCCTCCGCCGGCTTCCGCCGTCGGATCCGCCACCAGCTTGCCTCCGCTGGTCTCCGCCAGCCCTCCGCTGGCTTCCGCCGAAGACGAGGCCCTCTGGGAAAACGGAATAGACACCGATGCCGCTGCTCCCAGGACCTCTCCCGGGGTGCGTTCTGACCCTTACCACCAGGCAGCATCTCGAGGAGAATCCCGCCGGGGCGACCAGGGCTCTCCAGGACGGGCAGCGGTGTCGCTAGATCTTCCAGCGCCGATTCCTGAAACGCCTCGACCCAGACATACAATGCCCCGACTTGTTGTTGCAACGCGGAGTCTCTGGAAACCCCGTCCGTCTCTCCAGGGACGTGGTTTCATCCCGTATCGTTGCTTGACGGTCCCAGGCCCCCGCGAGGGCCCCCAGAGGCCGAAAACGGCCGAAAGCCGCCGGTCGCGATTTTGCCACGACGCGAGCAGTGACCTTCGGCGCCTTCGCCGGAGCAGCTGCCGGCACAGCTGCAACCGCCGGCGCCGCCGCTGGGGGCTGGTCCGCCGCAGCCCTCGGCGAAGCGGCGGGCGCGGGCGGCGGCGCGCCAGTCCGTGCGGCGCGGGGCGCGCCGCGAGCCTGGCGAGGGGAGGCCTCTGACGGAGCAGAGGCCGTCACGCGCAGCGGACGCAGTGGGCGGCGTCGAGCTCGGGTTGCTTGTTCGCCGCGGGCTTCGCTGTTTCGCACGGAGTGGGCGTGCCCTCAGGTCCTCTGCCCAGTCCTCGAAGCCTTCCTCCTCGCTCCTGAGGGGTCTCTTGGGGGCTCGCGAGCTTGGGCTGTTTGTTCGGCAGCGAGTTCGGGTTGCTTGTTCGCCACACGAGGATCCGCCGCATTCGCCACCGCCCGACCCAGCTGCCTTTAAGTAAAAAAGACCCTGCGCGTAGGAGTCGAAAGGGGACGATCCAACGCGGCGAGCCCGGGGGGTGAAGAGAGAGGGGGGGCAGGCCTTCTCAGAAGGCGACGGGGCTTCGCACTCGTGAATATCGCCTTCGGTGGAGCTCCCTATGGGGCCACGAAGCGTGTGAGGGGTGTGCCGATGTGGGCTGGGGGACGCTATGCAGTACCACCCCTGGGGCGTTCGGTGGAGCTCCCTATGGGACCACGAAGTGTGGGAGAGGTCCGCCGAAACGGGCTGGGAGACGCTATGCGGTACCATCCCCTGGGGGCTTCGGTGGATCTCCCTGCGGGGCCGCGAAACGTGAGAGGGGTGTGCCGACATGGGCTGGGGACGCTACGCGGTACACATAACATAACACCAACAGCAAAAAACGGCGAGGCGGTCTGAAGGGGGGAGGAGCACGAATCCTGGCGGAGGGTTCCAAGGTTGCGCCACGAGTTGTTAGTCCGAGGAGGTGGCATGACTCAGAGCTGGTCTCGAATATCGTGGAGCCGCCAGGTGACGGATCCAATTTCCGCCCACCCCAACCTGGGCCTTCCAGGGTGTTCTTTTGTTTCCCTGCTGCAGAATGCACATTGCCAATCACACCTAGATCGACTAGCTGACGAGGGCGCAACCGAATAAAACATGCGATCTCAGAATAAAAAGGTGTGACGATCTGAACGGGCCTGCCCTAACAAGATTCGAGCTGCCTCTCCAGAAGGCGCGGACGCAATGCTGGGGCGTGGCGGAAGCATCCGGGTGGGGAAGTGCGTCTGTCCGGCAACCCAGCATCGCACCATCCTGCGAAGGGCGGTTCCCTGCACAGGGGCGGGCGGACGAAGGGTGACCGTCCAATCTGGCGCATCTCATCTGCGGCGTTACCTGCATATCTGGCTTTGGCTTCTGCTTGAACGTCAGCGTTATGCTTAGGTTCGGCTTCATGGTGCCACCGCTGGAGCTCAATTCCACCCCTCTGTGGAGTTAGGAAAAAGCTAGGCTAAGAAATGGCCTTCGCTCCAGGCGCCAGGTCCAGCTGCACAAAAAGTCTGCGAAACGGGAAGCTCCAAGAAAACGCCCAGGGTTCAGGCCAGATGCTTCAATTTCTGAAGTGAAATCTGGAGTCCATGTAATGTGATGCTGTTTCTAACGATTTCTGATGGGTGGAAGCCTATGCCAAAACTATAGCCAACACCAACGCGAAAATACTGTAGTGGTCCGATATCGAGATGTCGTGCTACTGCAGTATCGTGTGCACTGTGGCATCGCTCATACGATGGCATCCACTGTGGTGTCCCGCTGTATCCGACGGCGTTCCAGTGAGATGGCTGATATCGCCACAGCATACATATACCATGTAGAATTACTGTGATTGCTGATACTGAACGACGAGCTGAAAGTCTAAAGGAATGCCAAAATCACAAGTAAACGAGTGGAGGGCCTGGTGCCGTCTGTGGCGGGGCCAAACTAAGACTTCAACATCAAACCTTGCATTGTGGTGGCGCGTGATGTCCCATTGTGGTGTCTGGCGCCTGTGAAGCTCATTCCACTGTCGGAATGCAAACGTGGCTGACCCTACGGCAAGGTGAAGCTAGGCATCAGACCTCGTCGCCAGCGAAAGACCAGGTTGCTCCGAATGTGCACATGGCTTCCCAAACACTGTTCAAGTTGGGGGATTCTGCACTGCGCTCAAGAGTGTCGCCCACATTTTGATCAACATGCCACCTGCTCTCACAATAGCCCCGATTCGCCCTTGCGAAAGCTTTTCGCCCACGGGTTCGGGAAACCCTGAAACCAAAATGTTGCCATCGCTTGGGGGGGCGATTTTTACTTCCGCCGACTTCCGCCAGCATTATGCCGGCGGAGCCGCCCCCGTTTCTTCCGCCGCTTTTCGCCGCCCTTCCGCCGCCTTTCGCCAAGGAAGAGATGGCAACTCCTTCGACCCTCGAAGGCGAGGCCTTTTCTGGAACGCTCCGTTTGAGCGACGAAAAGAAACAGGTCTTACGCGACATGGCATAGCGACCTTACGCCGCGGCTTGCGCGGGCCGCCGGCACAGCACGCTGCATTGGTAACGAAGGCGCTCGCACGCGACCTTAAGACGACCCCGTTTTTGTTGCGCCGCTCACTTGCTCCTGAACGACCAGCGCCGACCACCCCCACCCGCCCCTTGGCTCTGGGACGCCGTCGATCACGCCCTCCCCGCCCCGCTCCGCCCCGACAAGCCCTGGCTTGGCGCCGAGTGCGCGTGCCATGGCCGCTGGCCAGCCCTGGACTGTCCCTGGCCGGCCCCCTGCCCCGGACTGGTCGCCAGCTCCGCCCTGCCACGCTGGGCCCGAGTAGGGCTGTCGCCGCTCGCGACCACCCTGGGGGGGCGCAAGGACATGCTAGGACGACGCGTCCTACTTGGAAGCGTCTGTCCGACCCGAGCATAATCATAGTACAACAAGATTGGTGTACATCGTTTCCCGAGCGGTATGGCCTGAAAGCGCCCGCCACGGAGCTTATACGATGAAATCTCTCGGCGCGCGCGTCTCTCCTGGGGTGGCGACGCACACATGGTATTAGTATGTTGGTGTAACGCCGATACCCGGGTGGAGCCCGCTTTTTTTATGAATCGCGAAAACTCCCGTGACTGGCCCCGCCCCCCCTGGCCACGTCACGACTCGCGCCAGCGCCGTCTGGGAATCCGCCATGTCCAAGCATTCCCAGACGACGCTGGAGCAAATCGTGACGTGAGCGGCCCCCTCCAACCCCCCCTGGGGTCGCGCCCGTGATCGCCAGGGTGTAAAACACGGTATCCTGGCACCTTGCTCTGCGCTAACACCGACTTCGCCCGCGGTTTGCTTGCGGCTGATTGGGTCGGGACCGGGGAGGGGGTTCTTGGGCACCCGAATATTCCAGGATAGACCCAGTCCTGGTAGGGCCCGGCTTGGCGTCCCCAAGTGCTATCTGGTAGAACCCTGGAACCGCTTGATCTGGAACAACTCTTCTTGCTCCAGGAGAGTACTGGACAGCATCTACATTTGGCCGAATGTGATCCAGGAAAGCACGAGCTGAATGCAATCTGGGTCAACTCCACGAAAACACGGGGGCCGAATCACAGGAGTTCGCCCTGACCACCCCCTTCCCTGATCACTCGGGGCTCTGAGGTTCTGGCAGGAGCGAGGGGGGGGACCTGGACAGAGAACCAGCAAATGAGAGAGCCCATGGGCGGCAGCCTTCCGGCCACTGGGCGGGAGCGTCAGGTCGATGACGCGCCTGCTTGTGAAACACAATTAAAGAAAGACTTCGTCAGTACGAGAAGAAGAGAGATATGCTAGTTAGCGTTGCATGAGAAAGGGTAGAACAGCGATGACGATGCCAAGTGGGGGGCGTCGGCTATGTCAACGTGGTCGCCGTAGTCTGCGCAAATGCTGCTCGCACTTGGAATGGCATGCGCATAAAGTCACGTTACTGCTGCAAGGAAAGATGTCCGCTGGCCCTCGCATTCCGGGGTGAAAGCGACATCTGGTTGTCCACCCCCCGCCCTGGGATCCGAAACCCCGTTAGAGGGGAAGAGGTCAACGAGTTCCCTGGCACACGCCTCCCTGACCCTCGGACTCCAAATCCGCCTCTTGGAAATCCACTTGGGAGCCTTCCAGGGCGTCTGGAGGCCATCTCGGGCCGTCTTGGAGCGGTCTTGGGCCGTCCTGGGACCCTCCTGGGACTGTCGAAGGCCGTCTTGAAGGCCTTCTTTGAGACTCCCGAGGCCGTTGGTGTCGCCTGGAGCCGAGCCGCAACTGCACGTTTACCGCCGTCTTCCGCCGATTTCCGCCGGCGTTCCGCCTGTGACCGGGGCCAGTTTTCGGGGGGTACCCCCCGAGACCCCCCTTAGGGGGACACTAAACGGGAACCCCATCCGCAAGGTCGGGGAAAAAACTGAAAACTGTGAGCAGATCAACAGGAGGGGAGCAGCAGCAAGAGCACCAGCGACAGGAGCGGCCGCAGCGAGGACAGCAAGAGGCGGCGACGGAGGGGAGAAGCAGAGGGAGGCAGGAGGAGGCGAACGCTACGATCCCAGCCATCGAAGTCCGCCCCAAGTCAAAAAAACAGGACGAGGGCTCGGGCGCCGCCCTTGGCGCGCAGAGCACGCCGGGGGCGGCACACGAGACGCTGCCAGAGGGGGCCCAGCGCCAATCGAAGAACTCTGCGCGGACCTCAGAAATCTGATGTTTATGCGATGTGTTGTTCCTCCATTCCCCGTGTCCTGCTTCACCCCCCCACGCCGAAGGGGGCCCAGCGCCGACCCAAGAGGTGCGCGCGGACCTTCGAAAGTTCTGCGTGAAAGCAGGGGGCCAAAACACGGGGCAGCCCGCGGCAAGAGGCCTGGGCCACCCTCGAGCTCAGTGCAGAACCAAAAACAACAGCACGGGGGGGAGGGAGGCACAGGAGGGAGGGGGCAGGGATCGGTAGGGAGCCGCATGCGAACCCTACCCCTACCCCCCACGATTTCAGAGGGGGAGGGTGGGGTTCACTTCGCTCGGGAGCTCCCGAAAGGGGTGAACCCCACCCTCCCCCTCAGGAATCGTGGGGGGCCCGGCGCGAGAGCGCAGAGCAAGAAGAGGCACGGGGGCCCTGCCTGGGGTGGTCGTCTGCCCCGTCCAGCTCGGCCTCTGGCTCGCTCTGCTCCCCCGAGTTGGCCGAGCAGGTCGAGCGCCACGACGGCTGGAGAGGGCGGCGGGAGGGGCAGAGGGGAGGGAAGCGAACGAGGGAGGGTTTGTGAGATCGTGTAAGGGTACACATCGGTCAGAAGAACTGGGCAAAACATGAAGTGGGAAGGCGTTAAAACTATATATTCGATTGCCACCCAACCCTGTGAAGACAAGGGAACCGGGAGAGCCGCTCGATGATTGAAGTAGGAAGGCGCCTATGGCAGGTTGGACTCTGAAGGGTACACATGCGTGGAAGGTTGGGTGCAGGTATCGCGCGCGAAAGCCGCGCAAAGCTGCGGCCGCTGGCATGGCGAGGGGAGGCGCCGAGGCGCCCTGAGTTGTCCGATCATGAGAGGCTAAGTCCAAACGGAATCAATCCATACGGAGACCGAGCATTCCGCATGGACTTACTCACTCCGAATGGACTTAGCCTCCTCCGATCCGAGCGCAACGTTTGAACTGTCCGGCGGTTCGGCCCCACACGCGGCCTGCAGGGCCACTCCCCAGATCTCTCGCGCCCGATCTGCAGACGCCTCGCGCGCCAGAGCCCATCCAAAGGACCGAAGACCCCTCGAGAGCACGACCGCCCCTCGAATGAAGATCCACAGCCGTGCCGCGAAGCAATGAGTGGAGTGTCTATGAGAGAGGAAGTAAGCGTCCAGGTGGCCTTTTCTCTGAAGGGAAACAACTGAAAGTGGACAGATACGCCACATGCTCACGAAAGCCGTGGAAGAAGAGCCGCACATCGATGTGGGACAAGAGATGGCCTCATACAGCAGCTGACCTAAACCATCATGCAAGTACAGACACCGCTGAGCTTCAGGATCTGGAGCTAAGTGGTGTGTCCTCCAGCTCCCTGGAGCCCGGTACGTTGAATTCTGAGACAGGTATTTAAGGGCCCCAGCTCACGGGAAATGTCCCTGGGAGCTTTCCAGCACGTTTGGAGATCCCCGCGCGACTTTCCTGAGGCCCTCGACGCGCGGTTTGGTTTGATGGTCCCTGAGATGGTGCCAGGGGTCCATGCTGGAGCTCTCTTGGGAGCCTTTTGGGTCCTCGTCGAGGCCCTGGGGGTCGCCTCTTGCCAAGATGGTTGGAAACAACTGCTCTTGCATCACTTTCACAGACTCGCCTGTTCGATCCGGAGAGCGTCCGAGACGCGACAGCTCCCCCGAGAACACCCGAGATCGCTCCAGGGCGGCTCCCCGGCCCCCAAGACGGACCCGTGGGTGCACCCAGAGACGCCTGCTGCACCGCGGTGACCGTGGGGCTCCGAGAGACGAGACTGCTACCACACCGGGCCAGACCAGGCAGGTCCCCCGAGCGCTCCCGACGACCTGGGCGCGGGCGGGCACCTGGACGCCCCACCCCCTGTGGGAGGCCCAAACTGCCATGCCCGCTCCACCGCAGGTGGGAGCCTGAGAACATGGGTTCGTCTGCGAGTGGGGAGTCTGATCAGGAACGCAGGAGGCCCCAAGAAGCCCTTCAGAGGAAGCCTCCGGGGGGCCTCCCCGAAAGCCTCCCGAGGACCCCCAAGACTCCCCGGAGACGCTCCGACAGCCCACGAAGAGTTTTAGAACTGCCTTCTCGTGACTTCAGGCTTCGATGGCGAGACTTGGGTGGGGGCCTGTGTTCCGCTGAGCGTCTCGCTCTCCCCCACGCGAGCCCACGAGCACCCAGGCAAATGGCAAGGACGACACAAGAGATTGCACGAAGCTGTTGGATAACAGGCAACCAACACGCAAGCAAAAGTCCAAAGCAGGGGAGTGCACCAACGAAGAGACAGCCTCGCCCCTCCCCAAACCCTTCAACATGGAGCTTGGTCTGGCCGATTTGGAGCTTGGTCAGCCAGCGGACTAAGTCCCCATGCGCGCCAAAAAAATTGCCAACCAAGCCTCAGGACGGTCAACTAATACCCCAGGACGGCCCAAGGTAGGTCCAAGAGGGCACCACATGGCCTTAACATAGCCCCAGCGGCTCCCAAGACGGCCCAAGAGAGCCCCAGGAGGAACCTCCAAGGGGACCCCAAGAGGCAAGAACCGCCGTTTCGATCTTCAGTTTGTCATCTAAGGCAGGCCCCCAACATCGCCCCAAGACTGCCCAAAAGGTCCCCCGAGAGGGCCCCAAGATAGCCCTAAAGGCGCCCAAGACTGCCCAAGAGGCCCCCCATGAGGGCCCAGGAGGAGCCCAAGAGGGGGAACTCGAAGGGGTCCCAGGGGGCCTCCCTCACAACATGGCCCCCAAGACCCCCAACACGCACGCCCCCAGGAGAGCCCCAGGAGGCCCACCAAGAGGCCTCCCGAGACAGCAGGAGACCCCCAGCAGGCCCCACAAGGACCCAACAGAGGCCTCTCCGAGCACGGCTTGAGGTTCCCCCCCGCAGACGCACGGCGCCGAGATGCCTCACATAAAAACTTACCTTTCAAGACGGCGCCGAGACGCTTCTGCGACAACACCACCCGCAAAAAAGGAAGCCAGGGCTCGCAAGAGGTCGGCGGTGCGGCGTAGGCCAACAAATCCTGGTGACGTCCTGAGCGGCAGCGTTTTCTGCGGAGGCTAAAATGCAACGTATCCAGTGTGTCCAACGTATCCTAACCTGATATTGCCACGAACCCCGAACTTGGATGACAAGTGGGCGTGACTTGCGAGGAAGGGAAAAAACAAAGAAGAGGATGCCTATAGGGCGCATAGATGGTTCCCGTGCTGTCCGTTTGATGCTGTACTACTTTGTCGGGGCGTTTCCGACCCTCTTGGAGCCGTGTTGGGCAGTCTTCGGGCCTTGGGGCGTCTCCGACCATCTCGGGGCTCTCTTAGGCCAATCTTGGGGCCCTCTTAGGGGCCTCAGGGGGCGTCCTGGAAACTTCTTGGAGGCTTCTTGGGGCCTCTTGGGGCCTCTTGGGACCTCCTGGGGATTCTTTGGGCGGAGAGCCCGTAATGTCGGTCCCTGCCCCCCCTTCTGGGGCGTCTTAGGCTGTCTTGGGGGCGTCTTAGGCTGTTTGGGGGGCGTCTTCGACCGTCTGGGCGCCCTCCTGGGAGACTAGGTGCGTTCTCTCGGGCCGCCTTGGAGCGTTATGAAGCCGGAAAGCCGAAAACAGAGAAGAACTGCAAGAACTGAAAGAAATCAATAAGTTTGGACTCTTGGGGGTCTCTTGGGAGACCTATTGGAGGACAAGTGGGCGTGACTTTCGAGCAAGAGAACAGCAAAGAAGAGGATGCCCATAGAGCGCGTGACGTTGATTCCCGTGTTGTCCGCTTGGGGCTGTGACGCTTTGTCGGGGCGTCACCAGCCATCGTGAAGCTCTTCGAGGGGTATTGGGGCCGTCTTGGAGGCTTCTGAAGGGTTCCTGGAGGACTCTTCGAAGCTTTTCGGGGCCTCTTGGAGGCCTCTTGGGGGCCTCCTGGGGGCCTCTTGGGGCCTCCTGGGGGTCTCTTCGGGCGGGGAGCCCGAAATGTCGGTCCCTGCCTCCTGTCTGGGGGCTCTCTTGGAGCGTTCCTGGGGCCTTCTGAGGCCGTCTTGGAGGCCGCTGGGGCTGTCTTGAGGGCGTCTTGGACCGTCTGGGCGCTGTCTTGGGGGCCTCTTATAGGCCGTACGGAGGGGATCTTTGGGGTGTGGGTCGTCTTCGAGCGTCGGGAAGCCGAACACGCAAGAACGCGAAAAAACCTTCAAAAACCGAAGGAAAACCAATGAATCCTGACTCTGGGGGCTCTCCAGGGGAGACTCTTGGAGGCCTCCCAGACCGTTTTCGGGACTCCCTGGGCCGTCTAGACCGCTCAGTCGGCGACGCGTGGCCCTCTCGGACCATCTGGCCGACCATCTTGGGGCCGCCCGTGCAGCACGGAAGCGTGTCTGCCGAAATGGGGCAATCTTCCGCCGTCTTCCGCCGGCTTCCGCCAGCGTTCCCCCCGTGGCCGGCGGGGGTCCCAGGGGGTCCCCCCCCAGACCCCCCCAGGGGGACACTAAACAGGAACCCCTCCTCAAGGTCGGGGAAAAAACGTTGCAAAGATACGACGTATTCCACTGATTGACATGATTGCGCATCCCCCCTGACCCGCCCTGGAGACGCGCCACATCGGCGAACCAAAGTGCCCCCCCTTTCTGGCGGCTGAGAACGTAGCAAAATCTAGTCGGCGTGTGTGAGAGGCCCTTCGACGCGAGGCCAGCCCAACCCAAACTGAAGCACGCCAGCATGCTTTGAATCGTCGTCGTCGTAAGGGAGATCGAACAAACAAGGGGAATCGAACACAATGTCGTTATTAACTGTGTCGCAGGGAAGCCCCTTCCGTTTGTGCTTTCCCCGCCGAATGTGTGGGGGGGTCCTGGGGGGATCCCAGAAGACGTCCGAGGGGGAGGTCCCGGGGGTCGTACCCCCCACTCTTGGCCAGCCCCCAGGGGGACAAAAGAGGGGGTGGTCTCCCTGTCGGCCCCACCTCGGCCCCGGCTCCGACCCAGGCCCTGGCCCGCCGGCCCTGGTCCCTGCCCCAGCCCCGGCCCCAGCCCCGGCTCGGGACCCGGCCCCGGCCCCAGCCCCGACCCCGGCCACGGCCCCGGCCCTGGCCTCGGCCTCGGCCTCGGCCCTTGCCCCAGCCCCGGCCCTGGCTCCGGCCCCAGCTGGCCCCAGAGGGCCCCCTAGAGAGCCCCAAGGAGGACTCCAGAGCGTCAGCGTCGTCGTCGCCTCCGCTGCCGCCGCCGTTGTCGTCGTCGTCGTCGTCCCTCTGGGTCGGCGGCACTCAATATACTAGCCGGCCGCTCTGCGGTTGATCGGGAGTTTCTGTATATAGATGAAGGGGCGTGTGCTTGTGGGCGAAAGGAGAATGAGCAGGAGGCGGTGGCATCCAGCCCCTTCCGCTCCCATGATGACAACCTCCACCTCTTTCTTCCACATCCTCCCAGAAAATCCCGTGAGGTCCCTGGAGGTCGTTCCTCCTCCGCCCCCTCCTCCTCCGCCACTTCCTCCTCCTCCTCCTCCTCCTCCTCCCTCCTCCTCCTCCTCCTCCTCCTCCTCCCTTCTCCTCCTCCTCCTCCTCCTCCTCCTCCTCCTCCTCCAACGTCCTCCTCATCCCCCTCCCCCGTCTCCTCCTCCTCCACCACCTCTTCCAACTTGGTACCTGAGCATTTGGAGAACCATCGGGACAACGAACGGGACACCATCGGGACAACCGTATGTCATCTCTCCATCGCTCTGGCGATCGATCGATCTAACCACCTATCGGCCCCACTGCTTCTCATTGTGTGCCCAATGACCTTCCTACATGCTCATGTATCAGTAGATCCAGATTCCCCTTTGGAAACCTGGTGTTCCTGAGGTTTTGCAAGCACGCCACTCCTTGTTCATCCGTTGCCACTGTTGTTGCATAGGTGATATTGCTTTCAGATTGGTGTTCGTTGATGTGTTCATAATTCCCTCTTGCGTTTACAATGTTGTTCGGTGTGTTTCATTGTTGTTTGTCCCGCAGTGCGCATTCTTATTGCGTTTTGATCACAGGGTGCAGTTGTTGCACGTATCGGCCAGCAGGACCACTGTTGCATATATTTGCCTCGCAGGGCTCCTTTTTGTTGTGCCTTCGCAGAGTGCACGTTCTGGTGCTAGTGGATCGCAGAGCGCAGTTTCTTGGTATACAAGACGGTGTATCGATGTATGTGTATAGATGCACAACTTGACGGCTCGATTCGCTTCGCGCCAAATCTTGGTCCTGCGTCCAAGCATTGCCGGGTTGCTGCCGAAGGTCACATCGGTGCGGAAAGATTATGACCACGAGGGGGGCGCGGGTCATTGGCTGGATGGAGTCCATCGGCAGGTTCATGCCATGAGGAAAGGGCAGGGCTGCCACAAGGGCGAAGGTGAGGAGCCCCATGGCGGGGTATGCCATTATCTCATTTGGGGTGACGACTATGAGGTCGATGGGGGTGTACGTCATGGCCGCCAATGCGGTGAAGGTCATGGCCCAGCGGAGCCTGGACCGGGGCCACGATGCCGATGATTTGAAAAAGTATGGTGAGATGAGCGCGAGGGGGGTGCAGGTCACGAACCGAGAAGGGTCACAATCACAACGTATCTTGATGAAGGTTGCTGTCATCGCTGTGGTATGGGGTTCATCCAGATCTTCGGATTCTGCCAATCGTCTCCTCACCACTCGCGCTTGCATGGACAGCACAACGCAGCGAGGCGTCCTGAAAAGGAGGAGGAGGAGGTGGACCTGTTGGGCCTCTAGGGGGCTTCTTGGAGGTCTGTTGGAGGCCTCTGGGGTGGTTCGGGGGCCTCGTGCACCGTCATGGGACCTTCCTGGGCCGCGTTCGGGTCCTCGACGCTGTTTTGGGGCCGTCTTGGGCCGTCTTAGTGCTCTCTTGGACTGTCTCAGGGCCGTCTCTGTAGCTTCTTGGGCAGTCTTGCCGTCTTAGGCCGTGTTGGTGCCATCTTCAGCCGTTTCGGGGCCGTCTCGGAAGCTTCTTGGGCCGTCTTGGGGCGATCTCGGAAGTTCGTGGGGCCTTCGTGGTGTATAGAGTGCCAAAGGAAGCGAAGACGCTCAAATCAATCGAACACCCAAAGGTAATCATCGACGTTTGCATCCCGCGGCCCTCTTGGGCGTCTCCTCGGGCCCTATTGGGGGGCTGCTGGGTCGTGCTCTGGCCATCTCAGGGGCCATTCGGAGGCCGTCCTCGGGCCTTCTTGTCAGCGCTGGGGGTCGCTACGCAGCCACTGGGGCCGCCCGCAGCGTCAAGAGGAGGCCAACCGGGGAGGCCCGGGAAGCCCGGGGGGCTGTCCGAAAGGCACCCCCTGGGCCAAGGGGGAGGCCGTCCGAGAGGGGTCCCGGGACTTTCCCGGGGGGGGCCACCCGGGGCAATGATTTCCATGCAGGGCGTATAGTTACAAGAATATGCGGCGGACGTCGGAGACACTGAACCCCAAAACGTGTTCATCTCTTGGGAGCGCATATTTTACTTCCGCCACCTTCCGCCGCCCCTACGCCGGCTTCCGCCTGCGGAGGCGGCCTCGTTTTGCTTCCGCCGACCTTCCGCCGCTCTTCCGCTGCCTTCCGCCGCGGAAGAGATGACAACTCCTTCGATCCTCGAAGGTAAGGTCCTTTTTGAAACACCATATATACACACACACAGCTACATGGCCCCGGGGACCCGCACAACCATGGGGACCCGCCCCGGGGACCCGCACGCCCACACATATACACACGTATTGGCACCATGGTCCCGCACAAACAACCATCGGGACCACCATCGGGACAGCCATCGGGACAGCCATCAGGACGACCATCGGGACAGCCATCGGGACTACCATTGGATCAACCATTGGGGTAACCTTAGGGGGGGAGAATCGTCGGGACAACCATTGAGATAACCATCGGGGCAAACTTTCGGGACAGCCACGCGCCACGGCCGCCGTGAGGGGGACTCGGTGTTATGCGACGTGGCCTCCACTGGAGGACGAGCTCGCGCATCTTCGCCCCGCCTCGCCCGCACGAGCGTGGCGCACGACACGAAACCGAGATCGACTTCCCTGCTGGGGTACCTCGCGTTCCACTCCAGCCTTCCCCCCCCCCCTCCGATGCTAGCAGGCTGGATGGTGGGCACACTCCGGCCCGCGGGAGCACGGCAACTCGGCTCACCCTCGCGCTTCGAGGCCCCCATGGAGATCGAGGGCAATCACCCTGCTCAAGCCACGGGCAGCTTCGGTCCGTCAGGCTCCCCGTTCCTCCAGCCCTCCCCCTCCCACCCCCTCTCCCCTCCGCTTTCTATCCCCTTCCTCCTCCCCTTCTAGATTTCCTTGTCCCTCCACTTTGGGCTCTTGCCCCCACCCCCCGTCTCCTGGACCGCCCTCCCATCCGATTCAACGGGTCGCCCGACCACCCTCTAGCCAGGCTCCTCATCCACCAGAGGCTCCTCATCCATGAGGCAGATCACCTCGGCAGCCAAGAGGAGGACAAGAAAGGCAGAAGACGAAGAGGAGGGACAAAGGAGGGGAAGAGGAAGGGACGGAGAAAGATGAGGAGGACGAAAGACGAAGACAGGGAGGAGGGAGAAGGACGACGACGACGACGACGACGACACGAAGGAGGGATGACGGGCAGGGGGGAGGAGAAGGAGAAGGAAGCGACGCAAGCTCAATGAACTCCGCCGAAGAAGCGACGGAGCCACGAATTGAATATGGAAAAGGCGGCAATCCCTTGACCGCGTTGGGTGTCACCGCTCAGGAGAACCCCAGTGCGCGGGTGGCACGTGGCCTTAAGATACTCAAAGACCGTGGTTTTTCCCGACGAACGTGTTATGTAACAGGACGTGTACACCGGGCAAGCAAGATGGGGGATTGCCTGGTTGAGGAGGCACCGCCACAATTCAAACATAACATAAAAGGGGCCTTCGGTGACCAAATGATGTCCTCGAAGGAGGGTGGAATCCCTTTCCCCTGAAGCCTCGGGCCCACTAGACACAGTAGCCACTGGGCGAAGCACATTACAAGCAGACGCAGCAGTCAAGCCGGTCACAAGGCGGTTGCGCAAAACGGTTTCGGGCGCAAGCTGCCCGTCAAGAGCGCCCGCAACAGTAGGCGTCTGGGCGCCAGTGGTCCCCCGGGGCGTCCCCGAACCTCCAGTAGGAGTCGACTGAATCCGAGGTCTCGCAGCCGCGCACAGGCCCTGCCCCGGAGCCCCCAAGAGACCCCCCGGGAGTGTTGCTGCTTCCCCCTTTTAGGAAGCCGCCAAAAAAAAAGCTGCCAACGGGCCCCGGAGAGGCTCCCGAGAGGCCCGAGAAAGGCCCCGAAGAGGCCCCCATAAGAGACCCAGAGGAGGCCCCAAAGACAACTCTTGTGCACGACCCAGGCAGGGTGGCGGGCTGGGAAGATGGCCACCAGGTATAAAGAAAGCGTGCGGGCTGGTTGGTGGACACATGGAGGAGCCAGAGCGGGAGCGGGTGGGGTCGGCTTGCGCGGGTCCCTCCCGACGGTATTGAAGACGACACATCCATGAACGAGGAGTCTGCACTGAAGGATGCCCGCTCGGCCAAAGCTACGGGCGGCGGCAGATGAAAGTCCAGGTGCCCGGAGCACTACATTTTCTTACGATCGTCCCTCCTCCCACGGGGGAGGCAAGAGGAAGAGGAGAGGAAGGGGGAGCGCAACGCATCACCTGATAGATCCTGCAGCCGTGGGGACTGCTACGGAACCCCCGACGCCGAGATACGACGAGGGCCCCCGATGTCTCGATACCGTCCGTCCCAAGGGCCAGTTTTCCATCCCAAGTCGTATATCAACGGCTCCAGACCCTGGCGAGGGCCCCTAAAGGCCAACAACTGCAGCGAACACTAAAATAGAGGGCAAACAAACCTACCTCGCTTTTGACCACCCTCGCTTCCAAGAGGAACCAAGCGGTGCCAACCTACGGCCTCGACTGGTCAGGCCGCTCGACGAGGAGGCGCGTGGTAGGACTTGGCTATTGCCTGGACGCAGAAGCGGGGCAGGCAATTCACGCTCTGATAGAATAGGGGGCCACATGCGAACCCTACCCCTACCCCCCACGATTTCTGAGGGGGGGTGGGGTTCACTTCGCTCGGGAGCTCCCGAACGAAGTGAACCCCACCCTCCCCCTCAGAAATCGTCGGGGGTAGGGAGTAGGGCTCGCATGTGGCCCCCTGTAGAAGCCCTTCGCGATCTCTTCTCTCGCTGGCGGCGAAAGGGGGCGAACGCGGGCGCGACTGCAGAGCCGGCGGGACGCGCTGGGCACGAGGCGCACGCCTGGGGAGGGGGGCGGACGAGCGGAGGCGGCCGCGGAGGAGGATGTGAAGGGGCCCTGGGGCACACAAATCAACGCACACAAACAAAAGGATTCCCCACATCTCCTCCTTTGTCCCGGGCTTTTTTTTTGTCTTTTCCCCCCAACTTACCATATTTTCCCATTTTTTCCCGGGAGTCGACGGTGAATTGTGACTGTGTGTTTTGCCCCTGCTGAGAGGAGGAAGGGGGAAGGAGGCCCGAGCCGCCGAGGGGCGGCGGGAGGGGCGAGCGCGAAGTCCTGCGGGGCTCTTGCCCGCACGGCCGGATCGGGGCCGAGGGCTCGGCCCCAACACAACGTGAATGTGGGCCTCCTCTGGCGCCGGGGGGAGGCCCAGGCAGCAGCGGGCGCAACCCGTGTGCGGTCTCGCACACACGGGTGGCTTAGAATGAGCATTTTGTGCCCGTTCGCTCTCCTCCCTTCGTCCTCCGTCTCCTCCCTCAGGGGCGCCAGCTGCGGCTGCGGCAGCTCGTCAGCTTTGCTTTTTCTGCCCACGCGGCCCTCATCGGTGCACGGCTTCCCTGCCTCGTCGGGCCTCTCCTGCGGTGCGCCCTGCCCAGGGCTCTGGAGGCGGAGCCGGCCGCGGCGCAGAAGGCGCCCTGCGAGGCCCCAGAGAGCGCAAAAAAAACGCCCCAAGAAAGCCCCAGCGCTTGAACCCTCGAACGAGGAGGAGGAGGAGGAGGAGGAGGAGGAGGAGGAGGAGCTCAAGCCCGCCTGCTGCCTCCACACATCTCCGATGACATCATCTTTTCCATCCGGGCGTGTTTCCCCTATTCCGGCCCCTGGGGCGCCCTTGCTGGGCCCTGGGACGATCCAAAGTGGATCCGCGACGAAAAACTACCCCCCGGAGTCAGAGCGTCTGGGGCCGCGCAGTGGAAGAATCGGATCGGCGGATGTCCGGGTCTGCCGAAACGCCCGTCGGCACCTCGCCGTCGTTGGGCACCGCCCACGCCTCTGTGGCCGGCAGCGCCTCTGACCGGTGGAGCTCCTCCTTCTCCCGGTCATCCAAGCGCACGCCTCGGCAGAGGGAACAAAGGGGATCTGCCGAGGCGCGCGCGCCTCGGCAGAGGAGGAGGCGGAGGAGGAGGAGGAAGAGGAGGAGGAGGAGGAAGAGGGGGAGGGGGAGGGGGAGGGGGAGGGGGAGGGGGAGGAGGAGGACCAAGGGCACGGGGTATTAGCCGCAAGTGGTATTGGCCACAGGCGGCCCAGCCTGTCCACGGAGGCCCTCGTGGTTGCAAACCGACGAAGCTGGTTTCCAACTGCAGCTGGCTGGCTAGTGCACAGATCTCGGCGCCCTCGCGGTTGCAGACCCAGGCTTCTTACCATTCGAGTCGACTGCCGCAGCCAGAAAAACAACCGCAGCGCACCAGCCTGCAGCACGCAACAGGTGGCCCCCCGAGAGCCCCTCACGAGGCCAAGAGGGCCCGGGGGGCTCCAGCATTGCGCGACGAGCTGGGGGGGCAGCCTGGGCCGGGGCCACCCCCAGCGGGGCGGGCGGTCCACCAGAGGTGTGCCTGCGGCCCTGCCGGCACGAGCGGCAGCTGCGGCAGGCCGCAGGTCGCACGCTGCCAGAGGTGCTGCTGACCCGGGTCGCCTCGATCGGCGACGCGCAAGGGCGACCACAGGCAATGAGTGACCTGTGGTGCGCGACTTTCAGGGGCCGCGGGGAGGCCAAGCCCGAGAGCGCAAGACGCTGCTATCGCATTGTCCTCAGTCACTCGGGGACCCCAGTGCGCCCGCACCAGAGGTCACTCTGGCGAAAGGTCACCCTTTTACATGTAGCCGACCCCAGCTCTTCGCGCCACTTTGGAACCCCAGGGGCCTTCCGGGCATTCCGAGGGGTGGCACGCGCATCCCTGGGAATGCCGACGCGGGCGCGGCCGCGGCGACTAGGCCGGGACATCACCGCGCGCGCTGGGCCCCCCCCTGCGGTAGCTGGCAACGGCCTCGCTGACAAGGCGCCTACACTTACGCACATTCGCCATGATTGCAAAACGCTGACCTCTAAAATCCATAGTTGTGGGGGCTCGGGACGGCTTCGCACTGTTCACTGCAGGCCATCTGGACCTCCCTGGAAAAGCAGGGGCCACCCAATGCCAGGGCCACCTCCTCGCCATCGCTCGGACGTCCAATCCCCTGTGCATTTCAATGGTCCTCGCCGAGAAAAATCCTCATGAACAAATATGTTTTACCGTTATTCGCCCGCTAGACAACAGAAATCACGTTCGCGGTCGGCACAGCAGTCCCAATCAACTCGCGATCGCGGACGCAAATGTAGTCGTGATCATGGCCGTCGCCGTGGTCGTCATCGTGGTCGGAACAGCGTGCAGAAGGGTAGAAGAGATAGGCGCAGGCGTGATTATGGGTAGTGATCGCGATGGGGTGTCGGTAGTGGTGGTGGTAGTGGCAGCTGTGGTGGCAGCGGTGGTGCCAGTAGTGGTGGCACTAATAGCACTCATGGTGGTGATGGCCGCGAGTGCCAGTGGCACTGGCAGTAGCAGAGGCAGTGGCACCGAGCAGTTGCAACGGCAGTGGAAGCACCAGCGGTGGCGGTGGCGGTACAAGCGCAAGGGCATGGGCAGTGGCAGTGGCAGTTTGGGCGGGCATGGGGGTGGGAACGAATGGGGGTGGGAGTCAAGTTAGCCAGGTCGAACGAGTCAGCGGAGCCGCCCCTACAAACCCTCCCTCCCAAAACTTAAGAGTCAAAGTGTGGAGAGTTTGGTAAGGAGACTGGAACGCTTCCCTCCTAGCGAGTGTGGCCGCGGGGTCTGGCGGCAGCTATTCGCCCAAATCCCCACCGTCCCTACGCTTATCAGCTCTTCTCCTCCTCCTCCTCCTCCACCTCCTCCTCCTCCTTCTCCCCCAACTACTCAAACGACTTAATCGACTCAAACGACGACGACGACGACGACGACGACGACGACGACGACGACGACGACAACGACCACAACGATCACGACGACGACGACGACGACGACGACGATCACGACGACGACGACGACGACGACGATCACGACGATCACGACGACGACGACGACGACGACGACGACGACGACGACGACGACGACGGCGGCGGCGACGACGACGGCGGCGGCGGCAGCGGCGACGAGGCCCCGCAGCGAGCCTCGTCTCCCGCCGGCGGTGATCTGCGCGGCGGCGCCGCCGCCGCCGAGGCTCGCCGCTGCCTGGAGATAATTGTTTTTTTGTTTTTTTCATTTTTCGGCCACAGCCCGGGGTAATCTGGTGGTGGTGGGGGGGCGATAGCCTAGCCTGTTCGCTTGAGGCAACCCCACGTGTGCCCGCGCGCATGAGAACTGCGCACCCCTTTCGGACCCGCGGGACCGACAAAGTCACGTTATCCGGGGTGGTAGGGGGGGGGGAGCGGGCCCGATATCCTGTGTTATCGCCGAACCCGAAATAATACGTCATCCTCCTCCTTCTCCGCCTCCTCCTCCTCCTCCTCGTCTTCCTCCTCCTCCTTCTCTTCCTCCTCCTCAGCGTCCTCCTTCTCCAGTCTCCTCCAGTCTCCAGCTCCTCCTCCTCCTCCTCCTCCTCCTCCTCCTCCTCCTCCTCCTCCCCCTCCTCATCCTCCTCCTGATCTTCCTCCTCCTCCTCCTCCGCCTCCTCCTCCATTCCTTCCCCTTATAAAATACTTTCCCCTGTCGCACCCCGAGGCCAGTTTTTAGGGCGGGCCGGGCGTCACGGATTGAGGGCGGGTGATTTTCAAAATGTGGCTCTCGCCTTAGCGCCGCGCACATTCGATTGCAAAATGTGCAAGAGTTTCACGGATTGAGGGCGGGTGGTTTTCAAAATGTGGCTCTCGCCCTAGCGCCGCGCACACTCGTTTTCAAAAACTGCAAGAGCTTTACGGATTGAGGGCGGGTCGTCTTCAATATGTGGTTCTCGCATTAGCGCCGCGCACACTCGTTTTCAAAAAATGCAAGAGCTTTACGGATTGAGGGCGAGTCGTTTTCAAAATGTGGCTCTCGCATTAGCGCCGCGCACATTCGCTCTTAAAATTTGCACGAGCTTCACGGATTGAGGGCGGGTCGTTTTCAAAATGTGGCTCTCGCCTTAGCGCCGCGCACAGTATTTGTAACAATTTGCAAAAGTTTCGCGGATCATCATGATCGACGTATCAGAACTAGCGTTTTGGAAGGATTCACGATTATGATGGGCGCAACAGTTACGATGATTCGCGGTGTTGAAAACCCAAGAATGACGTTCTGGTACGATTAAGGATCGTCAAGATGCAACAGTCAGGCTGATCCGTGGCATTGGACTACTGAGAACAATGTTTGGGCATGCTTCAAGGTCTTCTGAGGGTTGTCTTCCAACGAGGCAGGTCCCTCTGTGGGAATGAACCCGTTGTCGGGGCATATGAAGAGGGAGCTTGGGGGAGGGCTTATTCCATCATCGTTGGTGACTCTCGGGTTTACACTAGTCGTCCTCCTCCTCCTCCTCCTTCTCCTCCTTCGCCTCCTCCTCCTCCTCCTCCTCCTGCTCCTCCTCCTCCTCCTCCTCCTCCTCCTCCTCTGCCTCCCCCGCGTCCTCCTCCTCCAGTCTCCTCCCGTCTCCTCCTCCTCCTCCTCCGCCTCCTCCTTCTCCTCCTCCTCCTTCTCCTCCTCCTCCTCCTCCTCCTCCTCCTCCTCCCCCTCCTCCTCCGCCTCCTCCGCCGCCCCCTCCTCGTCCAACAGCGGAGCACCGCCACCCAGTGCTTCGGCGGCGAGCGATAGGGAGAAGGCTCTCTCAGAAGACGGCGGGAATTCTCAGATCAGGCAAGCGCGTTCCACCACACGCAAATTAGCGACTCGCAAATGGCCTCGATCCGCCACGAGGGATTTGCGACACTTTACGTAGAGGAGGACATGTTCTTTACTGACGTTTGCGAGTAGGCACTTTGCGAGTGGTGAAACGCGCTCGGTGACAGAAGGTCTCCGGCCTTCCGAAAGGTTTTCTGTGTCCCCTCGGAAGGCTCAGAAAACCTCTCAGGATGCCGGAGGACTTCTCTGAGCCTTCTGAGAAGGCCCGCCCCCGCTGAGGGCCCACCCCCCCCTTCGCTCGCCGCCGAGCACCAGGCGTCCCGCTGGAAATGAGCAAGAGCGGCACAGACTGTCGGAGCTCTCCGCGCCAGAGCTCCGAAGGCAAAGGCTCCTGCCGCTGCCTCTTCCTCGACGCACGGAGCCCGAGGGAGCACGAGCGGCGAGCCTATCCACAGCCACGCCCTCGCGGTCTGGAGCGCCTGGGCGGTCTCCCGCGGGCACGCCGCCGCAGGGGGCACGCTCTGCGCGGGGCGCCCTGCGAAAGAGCGCCCCGTGCCCATGGGGCTGCTGCCCAGCAGCCTTGGCCCGCGAGGCCTCTCGGGGGGCCACATGCGAGCCCTACACCTACCCCCCACGATTTCTGAGGGGGAGGGTGGGGTTCCCTTCGCTCGGGAGCTCCCGAACGAAGCGAACCCCACCCTCCCCCTCAGAAATGGTGGAGGGTAGGGGCAGGGCTCGCATGTGGCCCCCCACCTCTCCCCAGAGCCCGAGTCGGCGGGTGCGTGGTTCGCACCTACGGCCGCAAACTTTTGCTCAGCGTGTCACGCGCGGCGGCCCCCGCGACACGCTGTTCCCTGCAAGCGGGTAGCGTGCCGCTCCGGTGCGCGGGACGGGATGCCGGGAAAAGCTCAGAACACCCATGCTTGGGGGCTGGGATGTGGTCAGCGTGTCGCGCCGAAGTGTGGTGGGCCAGCGCTGGCGGAGCGACATTCTGATCAAAAAAATCCCTGGCCGTATGAGCACCGCTCCTGACCAAGCCGATCCTGGGCCGCCAAGGACGGGAGGACGGGGCAGGAGGCGCGGGCGGAGCAGGGAGGGGGAGTGAGGACGATTCGGCTACGCACATCGCGTGCGAGGGAGAAAGAGAGCCCATCCCGCGGGTGGCCCCTTCAGCAAAACGCCCTCTAGTGAAAGCCGACAGGGGCACTCCGCGTGTACACCGCACCGCTTTCCAAGTGCAATCCTGCGGGGTAGCGAGTCGACGTCCAGAAACTACCAAGTGTTTCCAGCGAAACGCACGTCGGTTAGCGAAACCGACTGGGGGCTGCACCGGCGCGCGCGACTGGCAATGTCGAGTGGACCCGTGCAGATTTCCTCTGCCGACTTGTCTGGGTGGGCGCTCTCTCAATTCCCGACGATCCGAGATCCTGACGAGCCTGCACGGCCTGGAGCTGTACTGGCTCACCCTCGTCGACTCAGGAGGGAGGAGGAGGCCATCTCGGACGGCAGGGCCGCCTGCAGGCTTCCAGAGGCCAGAAGCCTCCCTGTCGGCCGGAAGCCGCGGCGTGGCCAGTGCGGCCTGGCCAGCAGTTTCGCGAATGGCCCCAGCGGCCAACAACCTGCTCTCAGCCTCCTGCGGGATGGCAGCCTCAACTGACGCCCCAGTCAGAGCGACAGCGGGCGGGCGCGGGAGCGGGCTCATGCTGCGCGGATCGCTCGGCTCCCCCACGGCCCAGCGGAGGCTGCCGAAGCTGCCTCCGCGAGATGGCACGCAGAGCACGCCGATCTTCTTGCAGACTTGCGGACGGGAGCTCGGGAGAGGGGGGAAGAGGAAGTGAGGAGGCAGAGGGCGCAGCGCCAGGGCAGCGCGAGGAGGAGCGGCCCCAAAGAGGCCAGAGCAGCGCGAGGAGGTGCGGCCCCAAAGAGGGTTTCCAAGAGTCCCCCACGAGGCTCCACAAGGCGCCCCAAGAGGTGCCCAAGAGGCCCCCCTGTTCACGACCCAGGCACGGTGGCGGGATGGGCCGAAGGCCACCAAACACGAACCGCTCTTACCGGTGGCCGTCCCTGAGAATGCGAAGTTCGTGACGGCATGCTGCTTCGACAGGCACGGACATCACCCTGCAGAACGAGACATTGGTCTCCCAGGCGCAGGTTATGCGATGTCTTTTTTGTTTTTGTTCCCATGGCCGTACCATCACCACTGATTCTCACTACCCGAAAGTTTGCGGAAGGTGATCCGATCTGATGCCCTAGGAAAGCAACTGACAATGAGAGGCCGCAGGAAGTACGACATACCCTCCGCCGTTGAGCAGAAAAAGGCGAAAGACCAGCCCGCATTGGCTAGAGGCGGTCACAACCGCAGCTCATGCAAAAACGAATAACAACCACATAGATGAATAGATTTTAAGAAGCGCTGAATAGCCGCCGGCGCCACCGGGAACCGTCCCTGCAGAGACTCGGATGGGCCAGAGACTCGGTAGGCCAGCTACCGGGAAACTGCTGAAAAACAGCTGTGACAAAGCCGGCTGCATAACAACCGATGCTGTTTGAAATGCAAAAAACTACGTGGTGGCGCCGAAAACCGATCAAAGGCACGCCCAGCACTGTAAGAATTCAGCGATGCAATGTTGATCCAAGTCATGGAGGGAGGAGGGGAAGCATGAAAAAATGTAGCGCGTGCCGGCGTGAGGTGTGGGCTCTTGCCCATCTGTGACAAAAACCACTCGCATGGCGAAGCCCCATCTGCCTCTTAGAACGCTGTCCGCTGCAGCCCTGGCGTTCTCCTCTGGGGCTCTGAGAACCAGCGCGAGAGAGCGTTCTTGACAAGACGACTCGTCCACAAAGTACTCCACGGACGGCCGTAATATCAGCTTCCAAAATCTGTAAGCCGCTGGACGGTAGGCGGCGGCGGAAGCTCGACGGCCTCGCCACAAAGCAAAGGGTGAGACTGGGGGTGCAAATACGGTTGGTAACGTAGGGGGGGGATTACTCCATTCCATGGCAATCACCGTGTGAAAACAGCTGGCTCAGGCTAGCCGCGAATTCCCCGATCTACTCCACAGTGCTGGGGTCGTTCTTGGTGCCGTCCTCGTGGACGCCGAAATCGTGGTCGTCGATCATGGAGCTGCGACGACTTCCTCTTCGAGAGGTGAGGGCGGACCTCGTTGTCATGGAGTCGGTGCCGCCGAACGCTTCCGTTTCTGCCGTTGTCAGGCAGGTAGCGCCTCCGGTGGCGCTCCGGAACAGCCCCATGCTGCGCTGGAGGCTCTGGACGCTCAGAAGGACGCTCGAGACCTGCGCGGGTTCCGCGAGGTCGCGGCCGCGAGGGCCCCTGGTCGACTGGCCCCACAGGCTTCCCAGCGACGGGTGCGCCAGCGCCTCCTCGGCGCTGCACCTCCACAGCGGCTCGCGCTACAGCAGCGGCCTCAGGAGGCCTGCCGCGGGCCCCAGCGCACTCAGGAACCTGGGGCTCGGCTGGCCCGCCCAGATCGCCTCCTTGGCGGCGCAGCGGCTCATCTCCTTCGGCACGTACGGGAGATCACCGAACAGGATGAGATACGCCATGGCTCCGAATGACCAGACGTCCGTGCCGAAATCGTAGGAGGTCCCCCAGCACCATCTCCGGAGACCTCATGGGCACGGTGCCCGCAGCTCCGCGCATGCCCACGACAGAGGGCCTCAGCATGCGGGAAACGCAGAAATCACAGAGCTTCACGGTGACGCCGTCGGTGCCAATCAAGAAATTGTTCATATTAACGCGCGTGTACTCGGAGACGATGCTGTAGCCAAACTCTGGACCTCAGCATCCTGCCGACCTCCTACTCATGCTTGTAGAAGTTGAACTGGTAGGAGATCGTGAGCTGCTCTCGTAAGCTACTCTGGCTGGAGTCCCTCTTGTCCAGGTACTCGCTCCAATCCATCACATTGGCTTGCCAGCTTATTGACTAAGTTCTTGCTGTCGGGATTTTGTACATGATAGCTGCACCCTCTCCGTCTGCAAGCGCAGTGGAGAGAAAAAAAAAAAAAATGCTGCTTGTCGTTGGCGTTTCTGTTGTGCTCCTCCAGCTTGCTGGACCACGCAGTGAATCGCCTGTGGGGTAAAGTCTGCCACGTCCCCAAAGCCGTCCGACGAAACTGTATTGGGTCGTCCTGGGCACATGTGTCTCGCATTTTCCCAGGTAGCCCCTCTTTTCTCTCTCGTGCTGTAGTCCTGCAAATTGATATCCAGCCGGCATCTGGCACATCTGAGGGACAGTATATTCAGATCGGAGAATATTTCCAACAATAAATGTTGATACTCATCTCCCCGTGCTTCATGATTGTGAAAAAATCGTTTCTCTTCTCTGCGTCGGAAGAAATAAGATAATGTACTGAGACACTCCTTATCTGCATCCGTGATCGCATCCGTGAGACTCTCTCTGAGGACGATGTGTGTAGGTCAATGTCGTACGCATTGTGGTACCACCAACCCTTCGTGTCGTGTCTCTCCTCTGGCGTAAGGTGGTCGTTTGCCTCGTACCCTCCGCCGTAGTTGTACCGTAAAATGTCCCCTTCCAAGCTGGTTGTACATTGTTCCTCGGTGCGTACAAGGTGGCCTACGGCTGGACGATATCCTTATTGTTCTCTCTGATGGCAGTGTGCGTATACTCGTAGCCGATGCTGTAGCTGCACCCTGGACCCCAGCATCCGAACGACCTCCATCTCAAGCTGGTGGTAGTTGAGTGGGAAGGAGGTCGTGAGCTGCTCGTGTGAGATACTCTGGCCTCTTGTCCTGGTTCTACAGCCAATCCTTCACATTGGCTGCCTAGAATCTTGAATAGGTTCCTACTGACGAGGTTCTGCGCATGGTGGCTGCACCATTGTCGTCTACAGGCGTAGTTCGACGCGAAACTCTTCTTCATCAAGAAATAGAGCTGCTGCTTGTCGTTGGCGTTCTGGCTGTGCTCCTCTAGCTTGCTAGACCATGCCGTGAGTCGCCGATGTGATAAAGCCTGCCACGTCCCCAAATCATCAGACGCAACTGTGTTTGGTCTCCCTGGGCACAAGTGCCGTGCATTTTCCCAGGTGGTTCCTCTGCTGCCTCTCTTGCTGTAGTCCTGCAAACTGCGATCCAGCTGGCATCTGGCAGATTTGGGGGGCAGCGTAATCATGTCGGGTGATCTTTCCATACATAAATGTTGATATTCATCTCCCCGCGCCTGATGATTGTGAAAAAGTCGCCTCTCTTCTCTGCCTCGGAAAAATGAATCAGGGTACTGAGATACTCTTGGTCCTCCTCCGTGATCGCATCCGCTGAACTTTATATTAGAACATTGTGTGTCGGCCTATGTCGTACATATTGCGGTACCACCTGTTCTTCATGTCGTGGTTCTCCTCTGGCGTCCGTGGGTCGTTTGCCTCGTGCCCTCCGCCGCAGTTGTACCGTGAAGTTGCCCCTCCCCAGCTGGCTGCACATTGTGTCGTGGCAGATACAACATGGCCCAAGGCTGAACACTGCCTTTCTTATTATCTCGAACGGCGATGTTGTACAAACAGTTGTTGACCGCCTCTGGCATGATTAACCTGAGTCGGCCTTCCAACCCCGATGAAATCTCCAGCCCAAGAGGGAACAGTTGTCGGCATTAATTCAGGGGTGGTATCACTGCTTGACCTTTCTTCGTGCTGTCTCGATACGATACCCTGGCCTGTCCGTCAAGTACAACCCCAAAGCGTCGCAATAAATTGTTTGTGGCTGCCGTGAACATATTTGCCTGTGTACCTATACTGCTCTCTGCATGTCCGTCTCGTAATGCCATCTGCTTTCCAGTGGCATACGCGAAGTCAAGCAGAGCCGTGACGGACGCCGTTGTATAAGTAGCTGGTGTGTCCAGGGCCTCTGGTGCCGGTGGCAACCTCAGGTCAACGTACGTGTTGCTCCAGTACAAGAATAATGCCTGTGCGTTCGATAGTTTCCATGTCCAGTCAACTTTCGTAAACGTCGTCTCGTTCAGTCTCTTGTTGCGTAGTGGTGGAACGCCTTTCACTATGGTCTTGGGTTCCCACCAGAAGTTGGGAAAGGCCTTCTCCTTCGTCGCGTAAATCCCTCCCCCCAGCACAGTGTCTGATGAAGTTGCTTGCTCCGTTGTCGGGCTGCTGCTGTGTCGTGGTTGGGGGGTCGTGATGAGGATGATGAATCTGGTGTGTCGTAGAGCAGTGCTGCAGTCGGGGCTGCTGCTGGTGGTTGCCGTCGAACCGCTGTTCGTGGTTGCACTGCTCTCGACGCGGTGCACGACTCTGGCGCGGTGGCAAACAGATATGCCCGTGAGCATCCCCTGGAAGATCCACGGCAGGCCCTCCTGCAGGAGCCGTGGGTCCGGGTCGAACTTGACAGGCACGGAGCATTCACACCGCTCCAGGAGGACATATGCGGCG